GCGCTCCCCCACGTACAATCGGGTGGCTTTGGCAGAGCCCCAAAGCTGTGCAACACCAGCTCTAGCAGGTTCCAGAGCCCATCCGTGACCCAGCACACCCCTTGGCCACTTTCTCTGGACAGCAATGGTGTTGCACCCTGTGTGGCAAACTCTATAGTGCTTCCACACTTGGCAATGTGCATTGGAACTTGGGGCTTGGCCAGGACCTTGCAGAGAGTAGGAGCAAAGATCACTACCACAGGGCACCCATGGAGCCAGGCACTGGGCTGAGCACTCACGGCTCGCTCCTCGCTCCTCGTCTAATGCTAGTGGCACCCCACGGTGTAACCCCACAGGGCACAAGAGGAAGCCAAAGCCAAGACGCTGAGCAGGGAAGGGGGCCAGCTGTTGGCCAGCAGTTCACTGCACTGACCTGTGGCCACTTCTCACCTTTCTTTTACCGTCCTGGACCCTAAAGGGACCTGCATATCCCAGCCTTGCTTTGGTCTCTCAGTTCCAATCCAGTCTTCTACAGATGAAGAAGGTCTCTGGTTATGCAACCTCTCTGGCTCCCATGTTTTTATTTATTTTATTTTATTTTTTTGAGACAAGGTCTCATTATGTAGTCGAGACAAGCCTTGAACTTGTGGTGATCCTCCTGCCTCAGCCTCCCAAGTGCTGGGATGACAGGTGTGCAGCACCATGCCCAGCTAACTGTTCATTACTTTTCTATTTTTGTGCAGGGTCTCACTATGCAGCTCAGACTTGTAGTGATCTTCCTGAGTTCTGCCTCCCTGGTGCTGGGATTACAAGCATGTGCCATATGCCTGGACTCCATCGCCTGCTCACTGCGCCCAGGGGCGGGGATGGCGCCCCATGCAGTGCCAGGGATTGAAGCCTGGCCCCTGCACTTACCTAAGCAAGCGCTTAGGCCACTGATCTGTACCACCGGCCCTTGTTCATTACTTTTCAACACTGCACACAAAGGGTCACTAGGGACCTTAGGAGGGAGGGTCATGGTACCAGCTTACCAGTTAGTATGAGGGGAAATCCCCTTGGTGGCACTAGTACCTGGCAGACAGGAGGTACTCAAGAAACTAGGTCTTTATTGGCAAATAACATCCACCCACAGCCCTGAGATCCTGCCCCTGCTGCTCCAAGAATGGCTTAGATGTGTTCTACGTTCCACTTCCTCGCAAGGAGGGGGATCATTATGTACTGCAAATGTGTACTAATAAAATAAAATTTAAAAAAAACAACAGGACAGAGCCAGGCATGGTAGCACACACCTGACATCTCAGCACTTGGAAGGCGAGGCAGGAGGACGCCATGAGTTCAAGGACAGCCTGGGCTACATAGTAAGACCATGTCTCAGAAAAATAAAGGACAGCTCCTCATTTATGTAGGCACATACAGGTGACGTACCTGGCCTTGGAGGACACTGCAGAAGCAAACACCCTCTGTTGCCAGAAGGAAGGTGACTTCCTGGGATCCCACGGTGTATCTCAATGTGCCTGTCACCATGCCCATTGCTCTTTTGCAAGCCCCCAGCGCCCTGTGGGACCAGGACTGAGCACACGGTGGCCCCCAGCAGTGCCAAGACCCCAGGCAGGACTGTCAATGCAAACATCTTTTTACCATCTTATTGTGGACAAAAGAGCCTGAAACTGCATTCCTACCTTGAAACCAAGGCTGGATCTGGTTCAGTGTTTTTGGTTTTCTTTTGCTTTTGCGTTTTTGATAGATCTTTTTCTTTTGGAATGGGAAATCAAACTCAGGACCTTCCACTTGCCAGGCAGATACCCTGCCACTGAGCTACGCCCCCCACCCCTTGTTTTTTGTTGTTGTTGTTTTGAGACTTGGCTGGCCTCAAACTTACTATGTAGCCCAGGGTGCCCTGGAACCCAGGGCAATCCTGCTTCCACCTCCTGAGTGCTGAGATTACAGGAATGTGCCACCCCACCCAGGTTTCTCTTATTTGGGTTGGGCTTCTGGCTTTATGGGACAACCTTGCTATATAGGTTAGGCTGGCCTTGAACTTGTGGGCCTCCTGCCTCAACCTGCGGAGAGGTAGGGTCACTAGTGTGCACCACCATGTGAGTCCGGTTCACTGCCATTACTTTAAACGAAGAGGATCACTAGTTTGAATTCCAGCTCTATTGATTTCAGGCTATGTGGCCAGCATCCTCACATCTGGAAGCAATGCCACATATCACTTGAACCCAGAAAGCTGCAGAGGCAATTACAAGACACACAGCTTGTGCAGCTCATAACGAGCTGGGGGGGGGGCAGCGGGTAAATAGGCTGCAGAGGCAGCCACGTGCTGGGCCCCAGAGACAGCTCTGTGTACTGCTAGGCACTCTAGGAAGCAGCACACAGGCCTAGAGAGGTCATCTGCCCAAAGCTGTCGGGCAGCAGCGCAGGGCACCTACAGGGACTGTGCAGTTAGGCAGGCCTGGGGTCAAACCCTTACCAAGGGGGCACTGCGGAGATGGCTCAGTAGAATAAACCCTTGCCTGGCAAGTGCAAGGGCCTGAGTTCAATCCCTGGGTCCGCCAAAAATAAATAAATAAATAAATAAATAAATATCCAGTGGGACTCCTGCCAGCTGTAGGACTGTGGGTAATTTCCAATGTGTCCTTCATTCTCAGTGGCTTTAAATGTCCTTCCACATTTGGGCAGGCCAAATAGCTCAGCAGATTAAAGCACCTGCAAGCAGGCACAGGGGCCGGGGTTCGATCCCCGGAACTGCCATGCTGGCCCTGCCCCGTGCCCTGAAAGGGCAATTAAGACTGGGTGTGCTGGCATGTGCCTGTAATCCCAGCTCTTGGGAGGCTATAAACAATAGTGAGACCCTGAATACCCTGTAGATCCTTCCCTAAAATAAAAAAAACACTCTTGCCATGCCAATCCATCTCCAAGTGATACAGGGACCCTTAGTTCACCTCTCTGAGCCTATTTCCCCATCTGTAAAATGGTAGCAGTGGGGCTCAGTCTTCTCTGGCATCCCCTAACTCAAATGTTAAAGTCCCCATGCATGGTGGTGCATGCCTAAAACCCAAGCACTTTGGGAGGTTAAGGCAGGAGGATTGCAAGTTTGAGTCCAGCCTGAGCAGCTCAGCAAGACAGTATCTTACAAAAGAGCCATGGATGTAGCTCAATGTGAAGGCCCTTGGTTCAATGCCAGTACAGGAAAGGAGGGAGGGAGGGAGGGGGGAGAGAGAGAGGAGAATGAACACAAGACTTGACCATTTATATTCCCCTTTCAAAATGTCCATGTCAATAGACCCAGTTCAGTGGAATGATCACAACAGCCGCTCACCCAATCTGTGGCTTTGCCAGGGTGTTTGGTTTTGGTTTGGTTTTGGTACGGCTTTTTGAGGTAAAGTCTCACCACATAGCTCAGGCTGCTCTTGAACTCAGTGACACAATGACCCCAAGGCTGGTCTCAAACTCCTGGCAATCCTCTTCCCTCAGCCTTCTAAGTGTCAGCATGACAGGAATGCACCACTAAGCCTACCCTGCTCCTTCTGAGGTTTTGTTCTCTACAGTTCCATACACATATGCTCAGAAAGAACTCGCGTTTCAAACTGCTCACCGTTCTGTGTGGCATGCCATCCACATGCCACCCCACCGCTGGCCACCCCAAATGTGAACATCCTTTTTATTTGGTGTATCCACCCTGTGTATACTACCCTCCTAATAGGCACTCGGGAGGGCTGGAAAGGAGGACATAAAACACAAAAGGACAAATGAATTCAGGCACAATGAAGCAAGGCTACAATGCACATGGTAAGTAGGCTTGATACCCCTGGGGCTTTCCGGGGATCAATCAGCCTGGGGGCAGAGTGTGTGCCTGGCTGGATCAGTGCAGGGCCCTGGATGCCAGCCCTGCAGCTGCAAAACACAACTGCTGTGGTTGTAAGCGTCCCTGCAGGTCTTGGCTAAAGGAGGGCTTTTTTATGCTTTTCCCTGCAAATGCACATTAAACAGAATATAGATGTTCTTCCCCGTGGGAAAACTGAAAGAGAAAATTCAACAACTCTCTGACTTGCTTTATTTTTCTTCACAGCACTGAGAACATATTCCACACATCTGTTTCTGCTTGCTTTCTCCGTCACCAGGAGATCTGCCCCACCAAGACACTCTCAGTTTGAGTCCCTTGTGTGTCATAGTCCTGCACAGAGCCTGGCTTCTTTGAACAACGTCCGTGGACTGGGAGGTAGAGATGGGATATAAATAAGTGTAAGAAGATTCTGCTGCTACGTGTTGAAGACCCTATTTTTAACTACAGACCGCATTCATTCTAAAAAGATGCTTCTCCCACTTTGAGTGTGCCTGCGTCCTGACGCCAAGCGAGACACTGACTCAGTAGGGCGAGGCGGGGCCTGGGATGCCGCATTTGATGGGCGCCCAGGTGGTGCCAAGGCGGCTGGGCCCTGGCCCACATTTGCTGTTGCTCTGGGCCCTGACTCTGTGCGAGGTCTCTGCCTTTTTCCTCGCAAAACGGGAGCCAAGGTTGAAAGGTGAGAGACATCAAAGCACCCGGGAGGCCAGTGAGGCCTACACGTTGTGGTTGCAACAGCTCCTTGGGCCCCAACCCGCTGCGATCCCGCCACCAGAGGGTAGGAATCCGCCCAGGAAGCTCCCCGCTGCTTCTGCAGCCTGTGGCCTCACAGAAAATCTTACAAACCACTGCCCAGGGCCAGGTCTTCCCTAAGGTAAAGTCCGGGGCCAGCTGTGTTCACCAGCACTGACACCTGCTCCACCGAGATTTCGGTGCAGGGCCAGCCTGCCCTTTCCAGCGCCGCGGCCAGGGTGGCCCAGCCATCCCTCTACACAGCACACTGCGCAGCAGACCCCGCAGGCTGGGGCTGAGGCCCGGGACCCCCGCCCCCACCCCATCCCCCTCCGACCCCCTCCCCCTCTGTAGCAGGCCCGCGAGGCGGGGCCGGGCCGCTCATGCGCAGAGAGACCCCGGCCCACAGGGCGGGGTCCCCACGAGCCCCCCGCCCGCTTACCTCTGTGCACCAGGGTGGCCAGGGACAACGCGACGCAGATGAGCAGCGCCCGACGCCGGGCCACCATGGCTGCGAGCACCGCGGGCGCGACAGGCCCGAGTGGGCGGAGGAAGGGAGCGCGCCCGCGCCGGCAGCGGGGGCGGGGCAGGGCCAGGGCGGAGCTGCGGGTTTGGGGGCGGGGCTAGCTGCTTCTCTGTGGCTAGGGCTTCGTGGGTCGGTTAGGGTACCAGTTGGCTTCGCTGTCCTCCCAACAGGTTCCCTCCCACTCAGTCTGGAGATCAGAGTCCTCTGAGCCCAGAGCCGGCCCTCACATCTCGCTGAGCGGTCACCTTGCCCGGAGCTCTCGTTCCTCTAGGGCCCAGGGTCCCCCAGTCAAAGGCTGTTCCCTGTGCCCCGCCCCCAACGCCCCATCGTAGTCCCTGCTCGCCGGGAGCTGTCCTAGAACCGTGTTGGGAAATCAGCGAAAAGGAACACCAGGCAGACGGGACATTTGCTGTGGGGACACTCCCAAGGCTATGAGTGCACGGAGTGCACATTGCCATCTGCGAAACGTGCCCAGGACGGACAGCGCACTGCAGTCCTTTCCCATAAACCTCAGCAAAGCCGGCCCACCTCCCCACCCAGGCTACTGATTCTGCCTCCGCAGCTTGGCACAGGTCCCTTGGGAGCCACGGCCACAAGCAGCCTTGGGGACAAAGGGAGGTGCGCTGCTCTTCTCACTGGCCATTTCCGTCCTGTGGAGGGATCATACCCCTCCTAACAGTGCCGCTACCACCTGTCCCACATGTGCCAGCTGAGAGCCCCCCTGGACCCCCACCAGAGACCCCTGCCTGGGTCCCCGCCACCCTCCCAACGCCCACCCATTGTTGAGCATCCTGGGGTCCACAAACCATCCAATTTAGCATAAGATGTGATTTTGGGGATTTCAGGACCGTGCTTCTTTTGCAACAGACCTACAAGCCTGGCAATGCCAGGCGTTGTACCCCTGAGCATTATTCCTTACAACCACCTTAAGCATCAGCTCAATTTTCCCTCTCTTTGTTTTTTTGAGACAGGGACTGCTATGTGTTCCAGGCCAGCCTTGAGCTATATACCTTAGGGCTGGGGAGATAGTTCAATGGCACAAGTACCTGCCTGGCAAGTGCAAGGTCCTCAGTTCGATCCCCAGTACTGGAAACGTAAAAATATGTACCCCAGGCTAGCTTCAAACTCATAGCCGTCCTTCTGCCTCAACCTCCCAAGTGCTGGGATTTCAGGCGTGCCACACCATACCCTGCAGGGGAACAAATGAGTGCATTGGAAGTCCCTTGAGGTTGAGGGGGAACTAGGTCCAGTGCTACTGCATCGAAGGAGTTGGGGTACTACTAGCAAGCCCAGCCTGAGAGCTGCTATGAGCCTCCAAAACCCAAAGGTTGTGCAAAAGCGTGGCTCACCTGGCAGGGGTGTGCAGCCTGGCACATGCGTGGCAGTGAGCAGGCTAGTGCCTGCCAGTCTCCTTAAGCAGTTAAAGAAGCACTGGCCAGGCCTTGCCAAGGAACAGAAGCCATTGTTGTTGCGGCAGGGGAGCCCGCTGGGAGCCAGAGGCCTGACCTTCATCCTGCAAGCACCAACTCTGCGATACACAAAGGTCTTTTGTTCCATGTGAAGATGGTTCTGTTGGGTTTGCTATGCTGGACTTGCAAAATAAAATGTTGGCATCCGAAGCAGTCCCAAAGTTTCAAAAATAAAGAAATAAACAAATAAGAAAACTTGGCACATCTCTCATTGCAGCCCTTGGAGGGAGGACAGCCTGTGCTATACATGAGACCCTATGTGCAAAACCAGAATTTGGACCGGTGCGATAGCTCAGCAGACTAAGTGCTTGTTTAGGCAAGCACAGGGACCAGGGTTCAATCCCAGGCACCACGTGCCACACCAGCCCCGCCCCGGGTGCACTGAGCCACCACAGAGACCAGGCGTGGTGGTGCACACCTGTAATCCCAGCACTGGGGAGGCTGAAAACAGAAGGATCACTACAAGTCGGAGCTGCACAGTGAGACCCTGTACCAAATACATTAAAAAGAAAATAAAACAGGACTCTCGGGGAAAATCCCACTTCCAGTCCCATTGTCTGTTTTCTTACTCTGCTGCACCTCTTCACAGCCTCCCAATTCTTTATTCTCTCAGCTTCCATAGTAAGGAAAGGGCAGGAGGGTCTTGAATATCAAGCCAATGAGTAAAGGTTTAACTCTGAGAAGGGAGGGACTCCCAGAAAGGTTTGAAGACTTCAGCAACAGGAGCAGCCAAGGGGCCCTGCAGTCAAGGGCCAGAGAATGGGTCAGGCGGAGCTCGATTAGGGTGCATGGGGTGAAGGTCCTGGTGGCTGTAGAAAGGTTTGAAGCCTTCAGCAGCAGGAGCAGTCAAGGGCCAGAGAATGGGTCAGGCGGAGCTAGGTTAGGGCGCATGGGGTGTAAGTCCTGGTGTCTGTAGAAGCAGGAGAAGAGGAAGGGCGGCTAGAGGGGCTGCAGGCCACGAGAAGTCCTAGGTTGCCCAAAGGCAACAAAGAACTCGCAAGAGTTTAGAGTGCACCTGGGGTGTCGCTGCAGGATGACAAGATCCAATTATTGCTGTCTTTGCATCCATTTCTCTAGGAGCCTTGGGGCTCTGTTGCACAAAACCTAGACTCTGCCTTTAAAATGTTGAGTGGTGCACACCTACCACTGCAGCTGAGGCAGAAAGATTGCACAAGGAGACCCTGACCAAAACTCAAAAGAAAAAGAAAAACAAATGCCTTTCCAAGTGACAGGGGCCATCTAAGAGGGAGAAGCTGGGGTGACTTGCACTGGCTGTGGGAAGAAGAGAGGGGGTGTCACAGGGGGCAGGCTCCATGCCACACACACCCCACTAGTAGTCCGCCCTGCTGGGCTGACCTCTGTGCAGATTGCTCCTTGGGCTTCGGGGGCCCCGGTGGCTGCACCTGCCTGACAATTCTGTCTCCAGGGTCATTAGCACAGAATCAGCGTGGAGAGCACACCTGGCATCTCCAGGAGCTGTGTGCCAGTCAGGCTTGAGATGGGGTCTGCATGAGCACTTTTCAAGAAATAAGTTTCTGGCGCTGTAATTTTTCCTGTGATCCCAGCCCTCAGGAAGCTGAGGCAGGAAGGTTGCCATGAGTCAAGTCCAGACTGGGCTACATAGCCAGACCCTTGTCAAAGAAACAAAAACAAGAGGCCGGGGAGATGGCTCAGTGGAATAAGCGCTTCCACAGGCAAGCACAAAGGCCTGAGTTCAATCCCCGGTTCTGCAAAAGAAAAAAAGAAAGAAAGAAAGAAAAGAAAAGAAAAAGAAAAAAGAAACAAAATCAAACAAACTCTGAGCCAGCATTTCTCTCCTCTGAATCCTGACCTCTGTAGGCACAGAAGCAGTTATTCAGGGGCTCCCTCTCTACTCTTTTTCCAGTAGTGGGAATTGAACCAGGGCCTTTGCATTAACCTCTATCCCCTCTATCCTTTTAACTTTTCATTTCTTTTGTAATTTTAACACAGGGTCTTGGCGAGGATTGAACTTGCCATCCTCCTGCCTCAGCCTCCCAGCATGCTGGGATCTTTATGGAATGTCTTTTTCGTGGCATCAAAGAAGCCAAAAAAAAAAAAAACCTGCCAGAAAAAGTTACAGAGCAGAATTCCTGTTCTGTAACAGACATGTGGAAACATGTGCAATTAACAGTAATCTTATTTGGTTCAAAAATGACTCCACTGTTGGTGGGAGTGTGAACTAGTGCAACCACTATGTAAATCAGTATGGAGAATCCTCAGAAATCTAAAAGTAAAAGTTCCACTAGACCCAACCATTCACCTGCCAGGGATCTTCCCCAAAGAGCTAAGAACATAGTGTCACAGAGGTCTGTTCACCCATGTTGACAGCAGCATGGGTCATAGCAGCTGAACTTTGGAAGCGGCCCATGTGACCATTGGCAGATGCGTTGGATACAAAATGTAGTATTTACATACAATGGAGTAGTATTCTACTATAAAGAAGGATAAACTTGAATCATTTGAGGGGAAATGAAAACACTTTGAGGCCATTAGATTACGTGAAGTAAATCAAACACACAAGCTTGAATATCATATGACTTCTCATATAAGAAACCCAAAGTATGAATAAATTAAAGAGGTAAATAACAGATAACAGGAAAGGGAGACAGATTCTGAAAAATGGAAATGGACCAAGAGGAGGAGGGAGGATAAAGGATTTTAAAAGAAAATGAATGGGTCTGGGGAGATAGTTCAGTAGAATAAGCGCTTCCCTGGCAAGCTCAAGGGCCTGAGTTAAATGCCCAGCTCCAAAAAAAAAAGATGAAGACATGTTCTGCGCATGCAACAACTCCCTGTGAAGAATGTAATTATGTATACTTTACTTGGAAGACCCAAAAAACTCCACCAAGAAGCTACTAGAATTAATACAGAAATTCAGTAGCATAGCAGGTTATAAAGTCAATACCC